ACATTTAACCCCCGTTTTCTGTAGATGTTTGAGGCACTTTCACTATGTGAGGTTCAGTTTTACGCTAGTTTGTGCTTATTTTTAGTATGTTTCATATCCTAGCAGGTAAAATAGACCTTGGGAACAAAGTTAGGCGAAAAGGGGTGAAAACGGATAAAAAGGGAGCAATCATCAAGAGTTCACGGTGGAGGCCAGAAGTTCACGGTCAGTCAAACAGTGATGACAAGGCACATGGCGTGAAGTGAGTGGATTGTAGAGAGGTTTCGTCCATCTTGCGAGCATTCAGGACATCATGGCACTCGACCATGATAATCAACTCCAGACCGTGAACAACGTTAATGAAACAATGCGCTTTTGCTCAACATTACGGTCCATGCTTATAGTTCACGATCGTGAACTGGGATCATGAAAATCTTTCGATCTTGGTATGAAAGGAGGACTGAGCAAAAAGAGAAAGGAGGAGAACCTAGTGTGAGAAAACTTCTTCTTCTTCAGATTTCTAGAGAGAGAAAGTGATAAACATGAGAAGAGAAGAGAAGAGGGTTAGGGTTTCATCCAAGCTCCAATATTTGATATTCTCATCCACAAAGGTGAACTCAACACCAAAGGAAGAAGGCAACCCTCTCGTGATGGTCTCTTCTCTTCTCCTTAATGTAATCCCACTTTTTAGCATGGAGTAGTCCTTTCTTTCACTTGGGTGTTTGTAAACCCTAGCTAGAACTATGTGAATGTTTGTATGGATCGAATGACTTATGTGTGGTTGTGTTTTAATACAAGTATAAAGGTATTTTCAGGAAGGTTTTGTTGTGTTTTCCATTTCCAACTCTTAAGCCAATTTGACCTAGGTAGAGGGAAATCCCCTTCTTGCTAAGAGGCTTTTAAAAGCTGGAATTCCTTGGCCAAATTGTGTCACCTACTTAGGTCGAATTAGGGCAAACCTCTTACTACATGTTAGCACCTTGGGTAGGTTGTATTTTGGTCGTCTAGACTACAGTTCGAAGGAAAACCTAAGCACCCCTGAGTCGATTGGCCAAGAGAGCTACTTTGGTAGCTTGATTTGATATCCCTTAGCCTGGTGACCGAGAGAGTGAAGCTTGTTCACTTGTTGCGCTTCCCTACAGTTTACAACCGCTTTTGGGCTTTGCCCAATCGTAGGAGTTGTCCAAAGTTTCGAACCGCTTTTGCACCCGGCGGGTTTTTTGGAAAACCGCTGTCACATCCAGCGGTTTTTGTATAAACCGCGCCCCCACCCCGCGGATTGTGAAAAAGGGTGGTATTTTTGAAATTTTATGAAAAAGGGTGGTATTTTTGGAATTAATTTATTTTTGGATGGTATTTCTGGAAAACGTTCTAACAATACTATGTTTTTTTTTATATTTTAATGAATAGCATACTTTTTTCAATATGAATTCGAAAAATTATTTATGGAATAGGGCCTACAGAATTCGTTGACCGACCCTGCCAATGCCAATGCAAGAATTGCAAATGACATTCAACGGGTGAATTGCAAATTTGGTCACCCATATTACTCATTTATAACACTTTAGCCACCCAAATAAATAATCATTCAACTTAGCCACCGATACTACACATTTATGTCATATTTGGTCACTCACCATCTAGTTCCGTTAAGTATGTCCTACGTGGCAGTCAACTCTAATGTTTGACCGTTAAAAAGTTGATGTGTCAATTAAAAATAATAAAAACAATTTTTTTATTTCCATGTCATACAAAAAACTAATAAATATTTATTTTCATACAAAACTAATTAATATAAATGTTGATAAACAGAACCCACCAGCGTCGCCCTCACCTCTCCATTGTCGCACTTCGCCGCTATTCCCTATGTTCCTTCGTCTTCCACTTTGACCCTCTCTCTTCTTCTCTCAATTCAAGTCTCACCATCCCCTTTCTCCCACCTTCTCCTACCCCCAACTTGTTGGCTTCCCATCATGATCATGGCGGAATCATAAGAATCACCGGTACCAGGAGGCAACAGAGTTGGAAATACAGAGGGGAAGCTCCGGCGACGCCCGATGTGGAGAAAGTTCTTGACTTTCTGAGTGGGAGTGGGTTGAAAGAGGTCGAATTGGCTCTCAAGGAGGATATCATCAAGAAGAATGAATTTGGATCTGTCTATTTAGAGAAATTCTTGTTCGAGCTGCCTCCGGTGAGGATTTCACGGGCCAATTTTCTGCAACTGGAGGTTGGGGAAGAAGCTACCGCCGACGGGGATTCTTTTGGTGATAGATCGAATTCTGGGATAGTTGGCTCCGATGATGAGATCGGGAAAACCAAAAATTCAACCTCGCCCAAACCCCATTTCGCACTCGCCCATAAAACCAAAAGTTCCCATTTTTCCCAGATCGGGAAACGCATCTGTTGAGATAACGCACCGGTGTCATGAAAAAAGAGATCGCCAAAGGCACCAGCAACGGAGATGGCTCCCCAAGAAAACCAGTTGTCCGAGTTGAAGCTCTACGAGTCGCGGAACTCGGTGAAGAATCTTAAGATCGACCCGTTTTCCACGAACTTTGCACCATCTGTTCTTTCTTTGGTCGATTTTCACAGATCTGAAAAATCCGCTTCCAGACCACTTCGCCTGCCATCGTCTACACCTCTCACTAGTCAAAGATCGCAGGCGAGGAAGAAAACAACAAGGAAGTCACTGCTGAAGAACCCAAACAGAGGAATCCGTCGCCGGATCTGAAGTCGGCTCGGTCATAACCTACCGTCGAGAAGCCCTCGACCAACATTCTCATCTTCCCGGCGACGACCACAAAAGCTCTGGCGCTACTCATCTTTGTAGTTAGCGTCGGAGGAGGAAGAGTTGAAGAGGGAGCAAGAGGCGGCCAAGATTTCCTGGTAAGGGCGAGGTGGCCGGGGGGTGGTTTTGGGCGGTGGAAGGGGAAGGTTAGGGAAGGGTTTTTTTTTGCCTTAGTTTTAATTAAAAATTGTGAGTAGTAAAGTATAAAAGATTAAAATTTATTTTTAATTGCCATGTCATCATTTTAACAGTCAGACATAACTATTGACCGCCATCTTGGACAGATTTAATGGTGATTGACCAAATATAACATAAATGTGTAGTATCGGTGGCTAAGGTGAATGGTTTTTTATTCGGGTGGCTAAAGTGTTATAAATGAATAATATGGGTGACCAAATTTGCAATTCACCCGACATGCAACAGTGAAATTGTCTTAGTTATGTAGTAAATAGATAATTGTGATTAGATTATTAGAAGGTAGGGGGTTGGTTGATATACGTAGCATGCTTGCCGTTGCTTGTGTTTGGCGCATTTGGGAGTATACTTTGCATACATTTTGATTAATGAGAAATTGATATGATTTTGTGATAAATGGAAAAATGGAAGAGATCAATCCCCACATTTTTTATAAATTGTTTTATATTTTATAAAAGGCTTAATTGCAAGTTTGGTCACTCGAATTGCTACAAAATTTCATGTTTGGTCACTCGAATTGATTTATTCCATTCGTAGTCACTTAAATTAGTTGACCAGTCCAACTTTGGTCACTCTCCGTTAACCTCCGTCAAACTCCGTTAGTACCGTCAGTTAACTGCTGACGTGACTAACAGAGGTGCTTAGTCATCCTATTTTAACAAAAAAAAAAACATGCCACATCATTAAAAAAAAAACCGGCCCATTCACCTGTTCCCCCTCTCCTTCACCCCTCTTCTTCCCAAATCGTGTGCTCCTCTCCGATCACCGGCTTCCTCGTCACCTCCTCTCCATCCTCCTCCGCCGTCGAATCCCGCAAAAGCGGTTCGTCAATCGCGCCCTACACCCGCTCAATGTCGGCTTCGGCCGCGGCGATTCTCAATCCGTTGACCAATTTGTGGACCGGTACGGCTAGCGGCGACGCGAGGAGGACGAGGAGAGTGATTCCGAACCCTAGAGAGTGTCCTCGGGTCGGATTGGGGGTGAAATCGTAGGCCAGTTGGAGGAACACGACTACCACAGCGACGACATTGAATGCGGAGAAGTATTTCCCCTCTTCCTTCTCCTCCGCCATAATAGTGGCCGGCGGGATTTCCCGGAGGAAGAAGACGGCGGCGAGGCAGACGAAGAAGGGGACTAAGGCCAGCATGAGGAGGAAAGTCGTCGGATCGTCGGAGAAGAAGGCAGAACAGAGATCTGTGAAGATTGCGGTCGACAACCCGACGAATCCTTTCAAGATCCAGGAGACCGGCCCGCGGTTGCGGCGGAAGTTGCGGATGCAGGTGACGAGCACCGAGGTGTTCATCCAGGTCGTGCTGTTGCCGCCGAGGCAGAGGAAGACGCACATCTGCCAGTAAGGTAGAGGACTGATCCGGCCGCTGACGACGAGCCACTGGACGCCGTAGCCGATGAGGCCTTCGATTGAGCCGATTAGGAGGAGGACTGGAGTGGAGAATCGGTCGGAGGCGAGGCCGGCGAGGAGGCCGAATGCCTTGCCGACGTCTTTAGCGACGGGGGTCTGGGATTTCGATGAAAATTAGGCGGTCAATAATAGGGTTTGGGAGATTGAATGGGGTCGGAGCTGGGGAAGAAGAGGGGGGAAGGAGAGGGGGAACAGGTGAATGGGTTGGTTCAGGGGTTCGGTTCGTGTCAGGGGTTGATTGGGTTTGAGTGGACTTTTAAAATATGGAGGGGTTAATGATGTGGCATGTTTTTTTTTTGTTAAAATAGGATGACTAAGCACCTCTGTTAGCCACGTCAGCAGTTAACTGACGGTACTAACGGAGTTTGACGGAGGTTAACGGAGAGTGACCAAAGTTGGACTGGTCAACTAATTTAAGTGACTACGAATGGAATAAATCAATTCGAGTGACCAAACATGAAATTTTGTAGCAATTCGAGTGACCAAACTTGCAATTAAGCCTTTTATAAAACAATAGAAGTGGGAAAGTCTAACCCGAGGAGCAACGCCATCTCCAATTCTCCATGGGTTGGGTTTAACTTTGAGACTTTTCGCTCTTCTCATAGACATAGTCGTTGAACGCGTTTGAATATTTCTTTTCTTCCCTTCTTCCTTGTCTCTCTCTCTCTCTCCCTCTCCCTCTCCCTCTCCTCTGCTTCTCAATGCTATATAGTTTGTCTGTTTCCTTCTCAATCCCCAGATAACTTCACAATACTGATTCTTTCTTTCTTGGCAATTAATTCGCTTCAGCGCGTCTTCAATTCTTTGCTGCTTTGCTGTGTTTCTTCCTTCAAGCTTTACAGGTAATAAGCATGATCCTCAGATTGGAAATTGCTCTCCGTTTCTCAATTCAAATTCTTCTTCCTTCTCATCGACTGGCTTTCGTAATTCATTTGCTCTCTGGGTCTCTTCCTCCTCTTCTATGGCATCAGTGCTACTTTTACATGTCCTTTTGTTCTCTTTGAATTCTTGGCTTTGTAAAGTTTCTTGCTGTTTTCGTTGGCGAGAAAGTCCAAGGTGTGACCTATGGGGTGTGGGTTTTGTGCCCTATCTGCTTGCTTGTTTCATGAATGAGAAATTCTGACCTAATTCTGGTGAACTGCTTCGTAGTTGTAAAAATGAGGCCCAAAGTATGTTGTTCATTTCTTCTCACTAGTACTCCCCGTTTCTGTTTTATATTCTTTCCTCTCAGAACTTATTCCAGAATCGATCTCTTATTTAGTAGGAATCCTTTCTTTCTTCTACGATGCTTTTGTACTACCACAAGGATCTGCAATTGTAGCATCACCTTAATCCTATTAATTTTAAGGATTGTGCTGTTTATGTGGGTTGACCTTCATTTCGTATTCTGTGTAGGCACTTGGTCTGGTAACTCTTTCAGCTGCTAGACGTTGAAATATCTGCCAAATTCACTTGTCTGTATAAAATGTTTGGCTTGACAAAATCCTCCCCAAGTGTTGCCAAACATAACCAGGTTGACCCACAATACCCCCCTCCTTCACATGGTAACCCATTTGATTCTAATGATGAGTTGGGTACTAACAAAACCTTGAAGCCCTCCAAGAGATCTTCTTCAGAACCAGGCCTCAGTGCACCAAGCTCTCGCACCAATCCGTTTGATGACTTTGAGGAGAAAGGATTATCTTCTTCATCCTCTTCCCATTCCGTTGCTTCTACTTCAAGACACAAGTTTAAGAATGATTTCCGCGACTCAGGAGGAATAGAGAACCAGTCTGTGCAAGAGTTGGAGGACTATGCTGTTTACAAGGCTGAGGAGACTACAAAGGCAGTCAATGGTTGCTTGAAGATTGCTGAGGATATAAGAGAGGATGCTTCTAAGACTTTGATCACCTTGCATCAGCAAGGAGAACAAATAACCAGGTCGCACAATGTTGCGGTGGAGTTGGATAATGATCTTTCTCGGGTATGTCTCCGTGTTTCAATTTATGCCAACTTCATGATTTCATATAAGCTTCAATAATGTTTGGAACATGAGTTAAGTGTATTTAAGTGATATATTTGGCTCCAGTGCTACTTGAAGGCGTTACTCTTTAGGAACTTGTGGCCGGTCTACTAAATCACATAGTATGTGATATAGATCCGGGGGATGTCTCACTGTTTCTCTCCAGAACACGAGTTAAAAGTATCTTTCAGTGATATATTTGGTTTCACTTGCACTCTGCACATGCTACTTTGATTTGACGAGTGTGCAATTCTAATTTTGTTCACTGTTGCAGTTTCATTTTGCAGTTATTAATTACTATGCAGTAATATTTTCTCTCACGTGTTCAAATTAAAGTAGGAGAATATACTAATTTCCAAATGATTATGTCACACTAGAATAGGATATAGACGTATGCAGTCTGCATATATGCTCACACTTCTAGTCACTAGCAACTCTTGTACTTGAAAATCACATGATGATGGGTTTCTGCCAATATACAAAAGTGATTAAGTTTCCTTAAAGTTTAAGGAATCAAACGATTTGGAGTACTGGTCTTTTATAGCAGGACTTTTGTTGTTCCATTTTTGCCGTGCTGGTTGATGTTTTATCCTTCTTTGCCTGTTAATTCTAATTCTTTGTTTGCACGGTTTTTCTTAGTTTCTAATGAAGTGAATCTAAGAGCATGGTGATCCTGTTGGTTTTTATTCCAGGGTGAGAGACTTTTAGGATCCCTTGGTGGCATGTTCTCTAAAACTTGGAAGCCAAAGAAGACTCGTCCAGTGATGGGGCCTGTGATCACAAAAGGTTTGTGCTTCTGCTATCCATCTTCGGTTTCCAGAACTAGTTTCTTGGTATTTAATTTCTTTTACAGGCAAATGTTGACCCAATTATATAACCTGTGATCACAAATAGACAACTTGGACTTTATCATCCAAATGTCATATAAACAAAGATAGGTAAAAGCAAGTATGGAGGTACAAGACTTTAGACTCCACAATGAGCTACTGTTTGGCTAAAGATCTGTGCTAAAATGAAGTTGCTTCTTGATTGCAGATGAATCTCAACGGAGAGGTAACCATCTTCAGCAGAGGGAAAAGTTGGGTCTGAGTACTGCATCGAAGGGGGCATCTAACCCACGGAAGCTCCCAACTGAACCAACTAATTCATATCAGAAAGTTGAGGTCTGTATTTAAGTTTTCCACGTTCTTACTGAATGAGTGACTTAATAAGAAGGAACCTAGTTAGTTGAAGCAAACGAGAAAGATAGTGCAACTGGGCTACTAGACGAATATCTTCCCAATCCATGTCTCATTTGAGATAGACCTGCTTACCAATATTTATTAACATGTTAAGAGAAACTTTGATGAGTTATCAAAGCATTGGAGTTGTGTATAACCATTGGCTAGGATCTTCAAATTAACCATTGAACTATCTGGAATTCGACTGAAACAGATGGAGAAGGCCAAGCAGGATGATGGACTCACAGATTTAAGCAACCTATTGGGGGAGCTGAAAGATATGGCTGTTGATATGGGAACCGAAATAGACAAGTGAGTTTCTCCTTCCTAATATGTCCTCGTTTCGGTGAAAACCTTTTTCTTCTACTCGTTTTAATATTTCCCTAGTCTGGTGGTGCTATGTCCACAAGTAAAATTTAGTAACATGATTGATAATCATTTTGAGTGGTGATTGCAATACAGGCAAACCAAGGCTCTGGATCATTACCAGGATGATGTGGATGTGCTAGATATCCGTGTTAAGGGAGCCAATCAACGCACTCGTCGTTTGCTGGGGAAGTAGTAAATTGTCCTAGTTCATGTTAGATACTGTGCGGCTCTGCTGGCTGGTAGAGATGTTTACTCTCGCTCATCTTCTCACTGTATCTCTCACCTATGTGCTTGAATTGTTATGGGAATTCAATCTCCCTTTTAATAAGACGGTACATTATCTTCTATATCAAACTGACATTGTAATTGATACACCATTTGATCATTTATACAGTTTGACCCTCGTGGCTGAGTGTCCAGCATCAGAGAACCTTATTGGCACTATTTCTCAATTTACGTTCAGCAGTGGTAGTATGTAGTAATGTAGTGAGTGGCAGTCAGGTAAATTGTTTGGTGTCAATGGCTCAATGCATATATGGTATAACAGCAGGGGAAGGGGCACAGGTAATAATCTAGAAGGAATAGGTTCAAGAGATGAGAGAATTAAGGATACCTACCAGTGAGTGTTCTTAACCATCCCTCAACCGGAGGGGGAGTGGAACCCCCACCATTAACAGATGTATGATTAATAAATTAATTCAGTATGTTTTACCGTTTATTATAATGTCAATTAGGCATTTTAATTGCGATGCAGGGGGAAAAAATACTATTTGTTACGACGGCGACGTAACCTCGAGAATTTGGATTCTCAATTTCTTTGTGCTTTACGCTTGTAGCAGCACTTTACACCCATCCATTTTTTAAAAATACTTCATTGAAGAAGCAAACTCATTTTCAAAAACGAAATTTCCTTGTGCCTTTCATCGAAGAAGCAAACTCATTTCCGGTTGACTGTGAGTAGATCCATAGCTTGAAATGAGAGTTGAGTAATCAATGGGAAGCAGAGGAAATTTTTTGAAAGCAAACGTCTAAGGTGCGGTGGTGCAAGAGGGTGATAGGAATTCTTCCTACTTTCACGGAGTAACAAAAGAGCGCAAGAAGCGATGTTTCATCGAAGGTTTGCGTGAGGATGACAGAGAGTGGGGAACAAAAGAAAAAGAGAAGGCACAAATTGCCACAGATTCCTTTGAGTCGCCGTTCAAGACAGAAAATCAAGTCGATGATATGGTAGGAAAGATTTTTTTTGACAAAAGATCATATATTGATAAAAAAAAAATAGTTACATCCTGAAATTTAACAAGACCATAAAATCAAAGAAACGACTCACAGTCAGGTACAAATGAAGGGCCTTCCTAGCCACCAGATGGGCTACCCTATTACTACGCCGACCTACAAACCGAACACTAAACCCAATATGATCGGACAAGCAACGGAGAACTTCGTCCAAAAGGGCTCCAATCCGATTGTCTCTGTTATCGGCCTGCTTGAGCTTTTCAATAAGCACCTCGACATCCCCTTCAAATCGCATTTCCGCAAACCCCGACGCCACACACCAAAGAATCGCCTCCCGGAGCGAGAGGACCTCAGCAATCAACAATCCCAGCAAACTGGACTCCTTGATATGATCTCACCTAGATCAATTCCTAGTCTCGAATTGATGGCCAAAGAATCCAACTCATTCCCTTTTACTAACTCTGAATTTTTGTTAAGTGTTACTACAGTTTCAGGTAGGTCACTTTGCGAGCTCGTTCCTTACAAATGGCTCGATGGAAATGGGGGATTGGAGGCTTGTTTGGAAGATGGGATACCCCTCTACAACGGGACATGTTTGGGGTGCTCAAAGGGAAGCCAGGAAGATCGATTATCGAGCTGTTCAAAACACTATGCTGACACTGAAAAACTGCCCAGAATTCTCTAAGTCTGGAAGACAGCTTGAGTACCCGACTTTGGACGCTAATTCGAGAAGGATAAATGGGAACTGGCCCAAGAGGGTGATACTACATGAAACTAGAAGATTCCTACTACAACCTAGAGGCATTGGATGATTGAAATGAAGATTGGAAGCCTTCGAATGAAAGCCTGCAAGATCGTTCGAAGCCCAGCTGAAGCTGTCTTGCAAACTCAGCAGTCCGAGTCCTTTGCGGATTAGGATTCTTTTTACCTTTTCCTGTTTGCCTTTGATTTCATAGTTTGATTATGTTTAGAACTTTTATATTGAGTTGGTAGCTAGCCTGAGTCTATTTAAGGACGTTCCATTACATTGTAATAGGTAGAATCGATTAAGTTGAATAAAACGTGAGTTTTTGGTTCATTAGCTTTTGCTTGTGGATTGTTGAGTTGCTTGGTGGATTCCGAGCAGCGTGGAAGCTTGTATCGATCAATTCAACACCTTGATCGTGGCCAAGCATCGACCCTATTTGTTTCGAGCCTTTCTCCGCGTGAAGAATTGCACGAAATTGACCGTCTTCATCGATATAATCATCCATAGTTTGCTGCGTTGGAATTGAGTCAAGCTCAATTCGTTTGCTGCGAGATTCTGAACCTAAAGACCCTACCCTGGGCCTTATCAAGTGGTAATCAGAGCCCGGTTCACACACACAGTGGCCAGGAGGAAGGACGACGTTGACGGATTTACGCGCTGGACGAGATCGAAGGGTCCCGTTGCCAGCGACCCTGCTGTTCTACGCCAACAGAAGCGTGAATCCGCAGTTGAGAGTGAAGAATTAACTATGGCAGGCCAGACGTTTGACATGGAGGCATTGCTGACCCAAATTGATGCGCGACTTCAGGCTCAATTGGGGGCATTCAAGCGTGAGATTGATCAGAGACTCGACGCGATTGCTCTGCCGGAAAACATCATCAGGGCAGGGGCAGTTCCCGAACAGGGTAATCCAGCTGACAACCCTGAATTGATGGGTCGGATCGAGGAATTGGAACGAAGATTGGTGTTGGCAGAGCCCCAGGACGAGCGACCCCATCGAGAACGCCGCGAGCATCGGGACCGACCGCCTGAAGCAGAGCACGTTCTTCCCCCGGGAATCAAGCTTGCCGTGCCACAGTTTCAGGGGATGATCAATCCCACTGCCTACCTCGACTGGGAACGAAAAATTCTCTTGTTCTTCCAGTGTGGACAGTTCACGGAGCAACAAAAGTTAGCACTGGCTACGTATGAATTTGCCGATTACGCAGCACAATGGTGGGAACAGCTGCAAACTCGACGACGACGTAACTTCCAAGCACCAGTGACTACCTGGGAAGAATTACGTGGGTTGATGCGCGAAAGGTTTGTCTCGGGATACTATCAACGCGAACTCCACGAGTCATTACAAAATATTCGGCAGGGAACTAGGAGCGTAGAGGAATACTTTCGCGAGTTGGAGCTGCTTATGATGAGAGCTGATGTCCGAGAAGATAGGGAGGCAAACATCGCTCGGTTTCTACATGGATTAAATCGTGACATCGAGCATGAAGTGGAACTCAGATCGTTCGTTGATTTGGAGGAAGTATTGCATCTTTCGATCAAAATCGAGAAGCAGCAAAAGGCTAGTTCAGGAAGGAGGTTTACGAGTTCTAGACTGTGCACAGAGCCTACTGTCGAGGCTAGTAGTTCTCAGTCCAAGCCTGAAGTGGTCAGACCCCCTTCCAAGTCAATGAACCCGGCTGTTCAGGAGAAGGGTGGAGGATCTAGTGGGGGAATACAATGCTTTAAGTGCCACGGCAGGGGGCACAAAGCTAACCAATGCCCAAACCTGAAAACTCTTACCTTGCGTGATGGGGAATACCTCAGTGACGATGAGGAGCAACCACAATACAAAGGAGGGTCGTCCGAGGAGGAGGTTGACGAAGAAATCGAAGTGGAGACTCCTGCAGGCAAGCTCTTAGGGGTTAACAGGCGAGCCCTCACGGTTGAAACTCATGCAGTGGCTGAACAGAGGGACAACCTCTTCCACTCCAGGTGTGTTGTCAATGGCGAGTTATTGTCTCTAATTATAGATGGTGGAAGTTGTACAAACGTCGTCAGTAGCGAGGTTGTAAAGAAACTTGGTTTAAGTACAACTAAGCACCCAGCCTCGTATAACCTACACTGGCTTAACGATTATGGAGCTATTAAGGTAACCAAGCAGGCCAAGATTCCTTTCGAAATTGGTCGTTACAGAGATGAGCTTTTGTTCGATGTGGCTCCAATGCAGGCATCACATATGCTGCTAGGGCGTCCTTGGCAATTTGATCGCCAAGTGTGGCATTTCGGAGGTTCTAATTGCTATAAGTTGAAGCACGAGGGACGGCAGTTTGTGCTCAAACCGCTAACTCCGGCGGAGGTGCGAGAAGATCAGCAGCAATTGGCCACAAATCGAAGGAAGGGAAGAGAGGAAACCACGGGAGCCTCCAAGGGTAGCAATTTTGTTGTCCAGAAGTTTATGCTCACAGCACTTAGGAGGTTTCCTTGTCCATGGCAAGCTGCAGCGACAATACCCTGTTCGTCGGAAACGGCGGAGCAGAGCATGGGAGAGGGACAATGGGTCGGACTACCGAGGTGCACGACGAACCCAGCTGATACTGTCAACACATTCCCTGAGACCCAGCGCAACTCTCACGAAGGAAAGAATGCGTCGATTGCGTTACTTTCCCCACAACCAATTCGAGCTACATCGCCCCTGCAAGTGCTTAAACTCGACCAAAACGCGGCCGAATGGGTTGGGGCATCTGGGCACGATTCGACCCCTAGGACCGTCGCAGAATCTCACGGGGAGGTCCTCCAAAGCTGTACAAATCGACAATTCCACCCGAAGATCCTTAAAACAGAAACGCCCAATTCAAGAGTTTTGGTTCCTGGACATTTAAAAGACGGCAGTGGCGGGAAACATCGTGTAGTTGATTCGGCGAGGAGTCGAGGTGAAATACAGGTCCAGAAGTACAATTCGAGGCCTGCCGAATCTACGGGAGCGCCTGAATTTGGCTGGGTATGCCTGGATTCAAAACCCCTAAATCGCATCATGAAGAACACTCACCTCATTCTGCAAAAATGCGAGTTCGGGCAGCCATGTGGTGATCCAGTCTGGGATCAATTCTGTGCACGATTTGATCAAAGAAAGTCCAAAGTGTTGAGGGCAACACTTTTTCAAGAGGGAGGGCCTGATATGATCTCACCTAGATCAATTCCTAGTCTCGAATTGATGGCCAAAGAATCCAACTCATTCCCTTTTACTAACTCTGAATTTTTGTTAAGTGTTACTACAGTTTCAGGTAGGTCACTTTGCGAGCTCGTTCCTTACAAATGGCTCGATGGAAATGGGGGGATTGGAGGCTTGTTTGGAAGATGGGATACCCCTCTACAACGGGACATGTTTGGGTGCTCAAAGGGAAGCCAGGAAGATCGATTATCGAGCTGTTCAAAACACTATGCTGACACTGAAAAACTGCCCAGAATTCTCTAAGTCTGGAAGACAGCTTGAGTACCCGACTTTGGACGCTAATTCGAGAAGGATAAATGGGAACTGGCCGAAGAGGGTGATACTACATGAAACTAGAATATTACTACTACAACCTAGAGGCATTGGATGATTGAAATGAAGATTGGAAGCCTTCGAATGAAAGCCTGCAAGATCGTTCGAAGCCCAGCTGAAGATGTCTTGCAAACTCAGCAGTCCGAGTCCTTTGCGGATTAGGATTCT